GTACAATTTTTTCAGTAGTATTACGTAGCAGTAGTACAATTTTCTCAGTAGTATTACTCAGCAGTAGTACAATTTTCTCAGTAGTATTACTCAGCAGTAGAATAATTTTCTCAGTAGTATTACTCAGCAGTAGTACAATTTTTTCAGTAGTATTACGTAGCAGTAGTACAATTTTCTCAGTAGTATTACTCAGCAGTAGAATAATTTTCTCAGTAGTATTACTCAGCAGTAGTACAATTTTCTCAGTAGTATTACTCAGCAGTAGTACAATTTTCTCAGTAGTTTTACTCAGCAGTAGAACAATTTTCTCAGTAGTATTACTAGGCAGTAGTACAAGTAAAAATTAAGTTGAACGGGTTTGCAATTTTGTTAGTAATACAAGTAAATATTTAGTCAGACACACACACACACATACATACATCTGGACAATTGATCAGGATCTTATATAACATGTTTCTATATAGAGAAATTTTGTTTCGGACACTTTAAAAAATTTTTATAAACGAAAGGACTACAAAGCAATATTAATAAAATTAATTATAATATATCAATAATAATTATTAATATTATTAAACATATTTTGGTTTTGTATTTGAAATTTGTTTATGAAAATGAAATGAAATTTGTATAGACAATTTGCTATAGTGATGTAAACGTAATAAAATTTATTTTCAAATACACTGCTCGATAATTTTCATTCACGGTAGCAATTTCTGTTTGATGATCCTTTTAATTGAACCATCAGAGTCTCATTAAAACTAGATACGCTTATGATAGCAATCAGCTACTTCGACTAACTATAACATAGAACCTTTCAACGATATAATAAACAGTATTGTTTTTGAAATTTTCTAAAACAATATTTTCTTTCGATTTATTTAACATTTTATTTTATTTTTTTTAAATTGAAAATTAATAAATTATAATTATTTTTTCTACTATTACTAATTTAATTTTTATTTAATTCAATAAATATTTAATTGACCGAAATAAAAATTATTTGATAATATAGTTAAGTAATTATTTGAATTGAATAATTTGTTTATTTTCTTGGATTTAACTGAAACAAAATTCCAAGTAAATCTTTTTTTTTTTTTGAGTAATAATAAAATTTTGAATAATTCATTTTTTTTAAAGAAATTTTTTTTTTTTTTTGTTTTGCAAAGACAAATATTTGAAAAATAGAACTGATATATATATTTTTTTCGAAAAAATTTAGTTAGGTTTTGCATCCTTTGCCTTATGCAAACACGAACACCTTTGAGCATACCAATATTTATTTTTCGTCGAGCGATAGTTTCTATTTGTATAACTTGCTTGTAGAAGCAAGTTGGAAGCGCTTTCAGCAAAATGACCATACGTTTTCAGTAGTATAACTCAACGCTTCGCAATACTGCGGTTGTAAACTGTAGATACTCCAAAAACTCTTTGCCATTATACATGATTTTAAATTTTTTCTCTTTTTCCCACTAATAAAATGGAAAATTTATCTACAAAATTTTTTTTCAAATTACTATTTCTTTATTATTATTAATAATAATTTTCCTATATTAATTTTTATTTGTTTTTATAATTTTGTTGTAATTCTGCCTTTTGTAAAAAATTCAATAAAAAATAAATAAAATAGAAAATAAAATAGAAATTGAAATAAAAATAAAAATAAAAAATTAATAAATAAAAATAAATTTTTTAAAATAATTTAAGAATATAAAAATTAATACTGTCTTATACAGCTTTGATATTTTTACTAATATTTCTGATCGTAACAATTGAAGTGAAAAACTAAAATATTTAAAAGAAAGAGAATAATGGAGTGAAATTAACAAAAAAAAAAAATCAAGCTCGTTGGTCCTTGATAAAAGTTGCTTCAACCACCTGTTACAAATCAACTTGCGTTTTATCGTTACCACTTTAACTCACGAGTAAAAGCTCTCTTTCTCTCTCTCTTAACACTTTTGTAACCACATTGCATTCATTATTAAAATAAACCATTACTAAAGAAAACGAATGAAAATTCGACTATAAACACTTCTTTTGTACTCTCCTGTACAAAGATAAATGTGGGCAAATATTTATTTTTAATTAATATCGTTAAACATTATTATTAATTTTTATTTATTTACAAGATTTTTTATTTTATTTTTTATATATTTTACAATTTCGGTAATGCGAAGCAAAATTAAATTTCTTTTTTTTTCACGACAAAAAGAAAATTACGTTCCACCATTGATAAATATAAATGACACCTTTTTGTTTATTATCTACGAATTTATTTCCAACTTTTGTGAAGACAACATTCCTCTTAACTTGAACATAACTTTTGAATAGCATTTAAGCGCATCCTCAAGTTGAAAGTTTTCAAGTTCCACTCTCATCTCGAAGAAGATCCATGAAATTCTCGAAATTCCGTACATAATTGATGGCGCTTGTCTCAAAAGAAAAAAGAAAAAAATTTTTTTTTTTTTGATAATGACATATATAGAATAGAAAAGTTTGTAGTACGCAAAATAATCTATAATAGTCCACTAAAATCTTTTCAGAAACTTTTTTTTTTTAGTTTAAATTGAAATTTCAACTTTTTTCACAATTTTTAAATTACACACCCTAAAAAAAGTAATTTTCAATCTAGAGGATTCCTCTAAAATAAATGCATATTTTCCTCTTAATTTTGGTATCAAAATTATTATTCTTCATTTAAGAGGATTTTCCTCTTAAATTAAATGTTGACATCCAAACCTCGTAAAATTGTTTTTAATGTCAAAGCCATCAATAAAATATTTATAATTTCAATCAAATAATAAAATCTTTGCAGAAAATACATTTTTAAATTAAAATTATAATAGTTCACTTCAATATAATAATAAAAATTGATTTTTAATATAACATTAACAATGTCATGTTTTTGGTTAATTATCAACATTTTATATTGATAATTAAAATACAAAAAATAAGTTTTCATTAATCATTTGTAATGATCAAAGAGATTTTCAGCGCAAAAATAATTTTAAAACATGATGATATGTTTAAAAGTTAACATTTTTTATAGGACAGAAAAAAATTTCATATATGAAATTATTTAACGTTTTAAAACTTTTTTAAAAAAATAAATAAAAAGATTTAAAAAATTCGAAAGATTCAAAAATAGGGTTATAGTATTTCTATTTACCTGAGTAGTAAAATTTCACAAGAAATATCCAAATTTTTTTAAATCTAAAAATAGCGTTAAAAATATTAATAATAATAATAATTTGAATTTAACTATATTTTCTGTATTTTTAATAAAGCAAATCCATTTTTTTGTTCTTTTTGTTGACATTTTACCAGAAATATTAAAACTGAAAGGTTAAAAAACAACTTCACAACTATCATATCCAGGGAAAGGGATCAAACGATTACATTATTTTTTTCCGTTTCCTTTTTTTAAATCTTCTAAATTTAAAACAGAAAATCTTAATTAAAGAGGAAAATACAAAAGGAATCCTTTTGTCATTCTTCCATTAAAATGAAGAATAAAAATATTCTACATTTCAATTGAATAATCTTGTTTTAAGAGGAAATATTTAGAGGATATTAGAAGAGGAATTTTCCTCTGAATATAAGATTACTTTTTTTTGGGTGCATTTAAGATTTTTTTTTTCTAAAATATATTTTTTGAATTTCAATAACACAAAACATGTTTAAATAATAAATAATTTTAGAAAAAAAAAGTTGCCTAATAACAATGAAAATTTTTATCCTTAGAAAAAAATAGAATAATTTTTTTTATATTTATTATTAAATCTAAGTATCGATGATAGACAAAGAGAAAAAAATAAACTTAAAGTAAAATATTGTCAAAAAAAAAAGTGACGGAAGTAGGTAAAAAGAGAGAAAGAGGGGGAAGGGTTGATTTTTTACCTGGTCGTTGGTTCGATGCGTCGATAAAATTTTCATTTCGCGGTTCGCTTCGCGTCACCACCCTTTCTCGCATTTTTCTTCAATACCTCACCCCCCTCTTTTCTCAATTCTCTGTCACTCCATTTTCGAACCTCGCACCCCTTCCTCCCCCTTTCCCCCATTGCCTTCGCATTCTATCTCACATTATGGTCCACTGGGACATTGATTTGATCTTTCGAAAGTATCCCAACGCCTCTGGTGCGCTTTTCACACACACACACACACACACACACACACACACACACACACACACACTCTTATGTATATATTTCACGGAAAAAAAATCTTTATCTGTAACAGCTATATGTTTCTCTAGAATAGCGAAAACTTTCTCTGTTCCAGTGAAACATTTTTTTCCACATTATACACCAAGTAAAATGATATATTCGTCTCACAGTCTAATAAATATTTATTTGATTCAAATTAAGTTTTATCTGATTTAAATAAAATTTTATCTAATTTAAATAAATTTTCATCTGATTTAAATAAATTTTTATCTGAAATAAATTTTTATCTGAAATAAATTTTTATTTGATTTAAATAAAAAAATTTATATACGCTAAATAAATAGGTTAGTAGGCATAAGTAAAAAAAAATGGACAGAGGAGCTACAAACATGAAAATCTTGCTTTCTATGAGAAGGTGGAGTTTGAATATTTTTTTTTTTTTTTTTTTTTTTAACGTAACTTTGAAAAAAAAGGAGTAATTCAGCACTTTTTAACGATTGTATACACGAGCAATGACAGGATCTTGATTAAAATGAAAAAAAAAAAAAACAGTTGCCAATGAAAAATATTGTCTGTTCAAAATAATAACGAATCTCTTGTTTCTCGATATTTAACAAAAGGAAACTTTTTCACAAACTCCTTTTTTTTAATATTTGACAAAATCTATATCAGCAGTGAAAATAAAATTTATTTTCTAATTAATTATCACTGCTGAATGTTTAATAAAAAATTTTTTTTTTATATATTTATTAATAAATATAATTTTTTTTTATATTTTTATATATAATTGTTAATAATTTTACCACTATTATTATTAATTAATTTTATTTTTTTCAGATTCTCCATTTGTCCGTTCATCGACTGGTAAGTTTTTTATTATTATATTATTGTGAAATAATAATAATAAAAATAATTACTACCTATATTATTTTTGTTAATAACTATAAAAAGAAAAATGCTTTTTTATTTTGTAATTATTATTACGAAAACAGTTTTAATAAAAAGTAAATATTATTTTTATTACAGTAATAATAATAATTATAAAATAAAAATGCCGTTTTATTTTGTGATTATTAATACAAAAAACGGTTTTTAACAAAAAGCAAATTTTATTATTTTTATTATAGTAATTATTTTTATTATTTTTATTATAGTAATTATTGTTATTATTATTATTATTTGTCGTTGTCGTTTGTTCATGCAACTATTTATTCGATTAAATTTGCAATTCTTTTGAATACAATATATATGTAAATTGTCATGAATTCATTAAAAGAGAATATCTGGTTCTCTTTGTATGTTTCTTTATATCATGAGTCGCGAATTTAACTGTACTTGCATATATATATATATAATGTGGGTAGTGTTAAATCTGTGGTTGGTGGTTTGAAAATGTGTACATTGCTTTCTATCTCACTCTCGGACAGTGAACACAAAATATTCACACAGAGGTATCTGTGTGATACTCATTCTAAAATCCAACCCACTTTATCAGTGTCGGTGCTGATTTCACATTGCAATTGAGCAGAAATGTAATGAGGCGAGTTAATTTTCGAAAATTTCTCACGTTATACACACAAAATACATTACAGGAAATTTTATTTTTCGAAATAAATAAAATTAGGATAATTTACATTTTTTTCTAATCTCTTAATTAATAATAATTTTTTTTTAAATTATTATTGTTAAAAATAAAATAATTATCTTAATATTATTTATACACACAGAGAAATTTTTTTATTTGATACAAATAAAAATTTATTTGTCTCTGAGATTATAATAATAATAATAATAATAATAATAATAATAATAATAATAATAATTAACTAAATAATAACTAATAATAAATATATAATTATATAATTTTAATAAAACTCTTAGATACCTTTTGTCTTTTTGAGCCAAATATTGGCCTAAATTTTGAGGTTATGTTTGTTTCTTGGTCATTTCTCGACAAAATAACTTAACCTCAAAATTTAGTTCAATTTCAGAAGAAAATCCATCTCTCCTTCAACGTAAGGAAGGAGGGGGGCCTTGCGACTATATTCACAGTCTTGAAACGAACATAACCTTTAAATTCAGGTCATTTTTGGCAGGAAAAATTTTTGGCACTTGCGGCTATATTGAAAGTCTTTGAACATAACCTCATAATTTATGTCATTTTTGGCGGGAAATACGGAGAGAGATGAGGAAAGGGGGAACGACTTGCTGCTCTATTCAGAGTCTTGAAACAAACATAACCTCAGAATTTAGGTCACTTTTGGCGGGAAATACGGTGAGGGGGGGAGGACTTTCGACTCTATTCAGTTTTGAAACGATCATAACCTCAAAATTTATGTCATTTTTGGCGGGAGACGGGGGACTTGCGGCTATATTGAAAGTCTTGAAATGAACATAACCTCAAAATTTATGTCATTTTTGATGGGAAATACGGAGAGAGGGTAAGGGAGGGGGGAGGACTTGCGGCCCTATTCAGAGTCTTGAAACAAACATAACCTCAGAATTTAGGTCACTTTTGGCGGGAAATACGGAGTGGGGAGGAGGACTTTCGACCCTATTCAGTTTTGAAACGATCATAACCTCAAAATTTATGTCATTTTTGGCGGGAGACGGGGGACTTGCGGCTATATTGAAAGTCTTGAAATGAACATAACCTCAAAATTTATGTCATTTTTGATGGGAAATACGGAGAGAGGGTAAGGGAGGGGGGAGGACTTGCGGCCCTATTCAGAGTCTTCAAACAAACATAACCTTAAAATTTAGGTCATTTTTTGCAAGGGAGGGGGAGGAGAAGGGGGGGGGGGACTTGCAGCTATATTAATATGGGTCATACCATATCAAGTATATATATATATATATATATGATTCCTGTAGATATGTATGTATACATTGAAATAACGAGCATGAAACGAGTTTTGGTGTATGATATGAAACGAGGATGTAAACATAATTTAAAAATTTAAACCGATATCCCCCGCTTTTATTTCGAATACGTATTAGCCTTTTCGCGTATGTTCGATTTCTCATACATATTCATTGTGTCACATGAATATTAATTTTTATAAAACGGTTCCTCGGGATCTCGAATACGGCCGTTAGTTAAAAAATGGCCAAATAGAAATTTATCGCTTAACAGATTTTTAAGTATAGTCTTCAAAAAAAAAAAAAAAAAAAAATTTCTACCCCGCCAAAAAATTTATTTTCTCCCGAATGTGAAAATTTAATTTAAAAAAAATTCTATCAATGAAAAAATTTATTAATAAAAAAAAATTGTCCATTTCTAAAAAAAAAGATTATTTTTCTTTTTTTATTCAAAAGTTAAAAAATAAATATTCAGTGCAAATAGTCGATCGTTATTCGACACATCAGTATTGCGGTTGTTCGTATCGTGTTTCTTTTTCTTTTTTTTTTTACTTTCAAAGAACGAAATTTCATGTTATAGACGAAAGAAAAGAACGATCTAAGTGTGCTGCACTTTTATAAAAGAGATGTCGAATGCAATACGCGTTTAAAAGATTTTTTTTTCCCCGATATTCTCTTTTTTATCTAGATGAGTGAGAAAATTGGAGAAAGTAAAACCGGAAAAGCGACAGAAAAAATAGATTTATAAAAAAAAAAATGAGATTTAAAAAGAACAAGAATTAATGAAAAAAATAAAATAATGTCACATTGGAAAAATGTTACTCAAAAAATATCCAATCAAAAATTTACTAATGGCGCAGTACTGGCACAGTACTGACAAGTGTTGGCGCAGTTATACAATTAGCTATTTAATTATTTTATTATTCACTTTAATTATTTGCATCAAAATAAATTTTTGAAAAACTTTTTTAAGAAAATAAAAGTTGATTTTTAATTTTTAACAAGTGTTGTCAAGAAAATTTTTTTAAATTTTTATTTTAAAAATTATTAATTTTTTTATAAAAAATTTTATTTATTTTTAGTTTGATCGTTTAAAATTTTTTTTGATTTATTGCATATCTGAAAAGAATAAAAAAAAACTTGCAAAATATTTTGGAATTAGTCTCAGGAAACTTTTTGTTTAAATAGTTTTACCCACAAAAAAACAAAATAAAATACCTTTTAATTTTCAAAAATAAAATCAAAGTGAACAAAATTTTTATAAACAAAATATTTAAACAAAAAGATTCATTAGGTTCACTATAGAATTTTTTGTAAACTATTATTAATCAAAAAGAAAATCTATTTGAGCCAGTACTGGCTCAATATCGGCTCAGTACTGGTTTGCCAGTAATAGAGAAATAGAGATATAGAGAAATAATAGAGATAATAGAGAAATGTGATTATATAATTTTTGAAACAGAGTATTAATATATATTTAAAATAATAAAAAAATTACATTTAATAATTATTCGAAATATTTATTTAATAAATAGAGACAAAAATATAAAGTTGAATTTTTGAGAAAAAAAAAACTAATTTCACGAGATATAAAGGAAGTTTTGATATAGTCATTAAAGAAAATGTTACTTGAGGAGAAAAAAGTTGAAAAAGATTATTTCGCAAAAAAAAAAACTGTAAGAATCAGCAGCTAGAAAGTTAGAAAATTCGTGATTTATTTGTTTACCAAAGTCAAGGAAACGTGCATCAGTTTGTCTTGTGAAAATTTTCAGAAATAAGTAGATCAACTCTCCTTCTCTCTCTCTCTCTCTCTATCTATCTTCTCATTCAAGTGACCCCATTACATTATTCTTTATGTTAAAATTCTCCACGGAAATAGTGTATATACTCTTATTACTTCGTTTGAATTAAAATTATACTCTCGCAGAGCTTTACATATAAATTCAATTTTGTTTACTCTCATAAATTATATTTTTTTCCTAAAAAAAAAAAAAATATATATATATATATCTTTCCAACCAACTTGCTTTCATTTAAAAAAAAAAATCTCTTTAAATAGAACGAAATATTTTTCTCGGAAAATTATTTTTAATTGAAAAAAAAATTTTTTTTTTTTTTTTTTTTTTTTAATAAAAAAACAATTTTTTTTCACTGATGAAAATTAAGGAAGCACCTGTATTAATATTATATATTTCGTGTGTGTGGTTTGTAAAATATGGCTTAAATGAGCTGAGCTTTTCATTATGTAGGGTGAAAGGGACGACCACCAAAACCACAAACGATTCGTTGCTCTTTTGGTATGTTGCCAAAAATTTCGATGATTATATTATTTTCACCAACAGTGACATTTTTACAGGTAGGGGGAGTAAAAATGGGGGGGGGGTAAAATAGATTTTCTGTCTCATTTAATTTCTTTTGCGTCAATAAAAAAAAATTTATTAAATATTAAATATTAAATTAAATATTAAATTTATTAATAATATTAAATTAATTTTAAAAAAAATTTATTTTTTAGCCCCAAATTATTTATGCCCATTATGTAGTAATTTTTGTAATTTTTCTGTCTAACTATTCTTTGTGTAGACTACTGAATTTTTTTTTTATTTATTTTTATTCGTTTACTTATTATTTAAAAAAAATAAAATAAATAATAAATAAAAATATATTACTATAATTATAAAATTAAATTAAAAAATTTTTAAAATGGATTTTTTTTTTTAAATTATAAATATTCTTTATTTTTTGTAAGAAGAAAAAAAAATTGAATATTGAAAAGAAGGTTGTGTGTTTATGTATCAGCAAAGTATCAGGTTTTTGTGAGTGGTATATTTCATTTTAGTTTTGAAATACCAAGTTGTCGAGGAGCAATAGAATTTGTATTGAAATGATACAAAAGTATTCATCCAGTGTTACACACCCGATATATATATATATGCATATGTATATTTACAAAGCTATATTTTCGTTAAACGCTCCCAAATCCACTTTGATATGTATTCACT